ATACTAGGAGACAACAAATGTTAGGACACAAATTTAATGAGGTGACACAGTGTAACAAGCAAGAAGTCTTTTATTCATCATCAAAACAGGTGGAACAGCAGTTGTCGTCCTGTCCTGTTTTCGCGTTACGGGTTTCACGTCAATCTGACGATTTGCGGCACTGTCGTGACTCTTTGGTCATAGTTACAGGAAGCGGAATTTCTTGTTTTTTTTTCTAGGAACAGGCGAAAATCAATGCGCGCGCGGACGTCATCCATAAAATTTACTTGGTGTGGCCTTAAGCTGAAGTCTAAACCTCTGATTGGAGAGTACAGGGTGTCTTCCTCTAAGCCATTGGGTGATGAACATTTAACATGAATCATCGCTAACATCATTACAGGACAGATTTAGACCTATCCTGAGTTTGTTCTGCAGTAATTTTTTTTTTCATTTCGTTAAGAATGACCACATTGAATGACTACTGATTGTGTTATTGAATCAGACAGTTTGCCCCAGAAATATCTGACCTATGATATTACAAAATGTGTCGGGATTTGGCCGTCCCACGTACACAGTCCATTAACAGGCTGAATGACGCATAACTGAACCTATGATATATTAGCCCAAGGAACGGTCAGCAAACTTACCTTTTACTTTCTATGCCATATTCTGGGTCACAGGTGGGATTTGTAGATAAAGTAATAAGCACCATGCCCTCTGGTTAGGTAACCTCATCTATTTGTCATAGGATTTTCTTGGCATGTTTCTGCTACACTGTTTTTATTACTTTCTTGGCTTATGATTTTTCATCATCCTTTCAGTTTGGACACTGTCATTGTCCGATTAAAATTCTCATCATGATAGAGACTGAAAAAACAGGTCCAGGAATTGTTTTTTCAACATGCTGACAGAAGCCTTAAGCCTCGGTCACAACCCGCCGTACGTGCATCTGCGTGCTGTCTACGTGCAAAAACGTGGGCAAACGTAGGGGATATGTGCGTGGTGAGTACCGCCTCCATACGGAATCCTACGGATTTGGGAGCACACAGACACGCCGTAGAAATTTAAGTGCATGTAAAACTTTTTTCTGCGTGCGGTCTGTGAATTCGGTCTATGAATTCGGGTCTGAGTACGGGCGAACCACCCATACGTGCGAGTACGGGCGATGCGCGTGCCCCGCATAGCCTATGAGCGTACAACGCACTGACTTCGTGAACTGATCTCACGAGCAATTGCTGTACAGACAGGCGTGGCATGCGGACCTTATACTTACACCCCGCGCAACTGTGCGAGTGACGTACTCCCTCGGCCGGTAACGTGGCTTCCAAAAAAACCTACGGGCAAAAAGCACGTACGGCGGGTTGTGACCGAGGCTTTAGAAGTGTGATCACAACATGTTTGATTATGATATATATGTCAGGGTAGAGACCCAATCTCAGTGATTCTACAGCGATTCTACTTTCAAGAGATCCCGATTGGAGTCTGTATTAAGTTTTAAGATATTCGCTTTAAAATTAAAGACAGTCAGAACTTTTAAACTTAGTTTGATTTGCTAATAGATCATTTAAGGATTGACATGAATTTCAGGATTTGCAAATGGGAAACCACCCTTAGCACATGACTGAGTAACAGCATTCTGATTGGAGTCGGCCATGACACCGATCGAAATCTCTACTGGTAGAATTACCATTTCTACCAGATCAGAGTCTGTGGATCCCAATGTTTTTCTTTTGCAGTTACATACATTTTGTACATGTATTTTCTAGCCCTTGTCCTGCGGAGCACAACAATTGTTGTTCTGCACATACAGTACCATCTATACAGCACCCTGTGTAGGTATGATTTGCGGGTATTTCTCGTGCAACGCATCACACCGCAGCGAAACGCAACGAATGCAGAAGTAACTACATGTATGTCACTTCAGGGCAAAAAAAAATTGGGGGTCTATGATCTAATCAACTCTAAGTGTCCTGCTGGCAATTTTTACACAATAGTTTCAAATAATTTCATGTCTTAATCAGGTTACAGACCCTTGACTTTTTTTGCCCTGCGGCGGCGTAGTTACTTTCGCATTCGTTGCGTTTCGCTGCGGTGTGATGCGTTGCACGAGAAACACCCCCAAATCGCAGTCATATATACAGGGCACTATATAGATGGTACTGTATGTACAACCCATATATATATGGGCCCCGCAGGACAAGGGGACATGAAATTATTGAAAAATATTGTGCCAGGAATGCCAGCAGGACAAGGGCTAACACAGATCACTTACAGTATGTGCAATCAAGCTAATGTTGTGTGAATTAGGAAGAGTTCTGAAGAACATTTCTCCTCCTTGGCTAAAAGATAATTTGTTGTTGTTCCCCAGGGTTTTTTCCGTCGTAGCCAGCTGAAAACGAAGAATGGAACGTACGAGTATGAATCCTACAGATGTAGCAAGTCCAAAGACTGTGCCATCAATGTGGTCACAAGAAACCTATGTCGCTACTGTAGATACGCAAAGTGTCTGGCAGTGGGAATGTCGAAGGAAGGTAAGTTTGTGTGTTTGTTTATTTGTTTTTTATTAGGATCTCATTTAGTGTGCCAATTCATACTATTCTTCCTAGAGTCCTGATGATGATATAAGTCACCATATAGCTGCTACAAAACGGGTTTCGTACAATGTAGTATTTGCACCATCACACAGTGCGGCACGTCCCTACTCATTGGTGTGGTGGGTTCTTTAACATGCGTGTGTGGTGTGGCTCTCCCCAAACACAAGACCTCCATTTAACATCCTATCCGAGGAATGTCCCTATAACCAAAGCTACTCATTTTCACCTGAGTAAAGTGCCTTTCCCAAGGGCACAAAATCGGTGGCATGGCAGGATTCGAACCCAGGACCTCTTGGTTCTGAGGTACCCTTAAGCCCCTTTATGGGGCTAATTATAATCTTCCAGGGCTCGTCCAACACAAAGACATAAAACAGATCTACACATAACACACTTTAAGAAGTATACATGACAGACTTACATACAAATACAGGCTTGTATACTGTTATGACTAAAATGATCAAAACAACAAATTATCAGTTAGTGACGGCATATAAAACGAGCTACTCTCATCTGCCAAATAAACATACGGGTACGTTTATTTTTTTGGGCCCAAACATCCACCCAGTACGTTCTTATTTTGCACAGTACGTTTATTAATTTTTTGAAAACCAGTAATTTTTTTCAACTTCGTGTGAAAAAAATTGACAAATCATCGACGTGAAGACGTTTATAAACGCATATTGTAGCGAGAAACTTGTCATTTTCGGGCCGGTTTTTGCAATCACCGCGTGCATAAATTCGTCTGAATGTTCTATTGTCATGGGTGGTGCTTATCAAAATACAAAATATTAAATGCTCTTTTTTTTGTCTATTTAAATTCCTAATTGCAAATAACAGTTAAAGATTTGTGCATATATCAGTAAGGGTGCATTTTAGTACAAGAGACACAGGTTACCCGTCAATTTTGGTAATATTCCGGGGGGTACGTTTATTCCGGGGGTATGTTTATTTGATTTTGAAGATTTGTCCGGGGGGTACATTTATTCCGGGGGGTATGTTTATTCGGCAGATGAGAGTACAGTACTAAAATTGCTAAACTATAATTGCAGTATAAACCATTGCATATTATCATTAGTATTAAAAGTTGCATACATGTAGAATTGATCAATCATTTTCTTGAACCCCCTCGCATCGGACAGAGTCTTAAATTCACTTGGTAAGGCCACACTGACTTAACTTTATGGATGACATCCTCCGAACACCCTAAAAACTAAAGCGAGCGGGCAAATAAAAAAGTCCAGCCCAGAAAAAATACTTAGGCCACACCGACTTGATTTTATGAATGACATCCTCCGAACACCCTGAAAACTAAAGCGAGCGAGCAAATAAAAAAGTCCAGCCCAGAAAAAATACTTAGGCCACACCGACTTAATATTATGAATGACATCCTCCGAACACCCTAAAAACTAAAGCGAGCAGGCAAATAAAAAAGTCCAGCCCAGAAAAAATACTTAGGCCACACCGACTTAATTTTATGAATGACATCCTCCGAACACCCTGAAAACTAATGCGAGCGGGCGAATAAAAAAGTCCTGCCCAGAATTTAAACACAGGAATGCAAATCTGGTATGGAGAATTTGCAGTTGTACGTCGACTACTTAAACAACAAGCCATTCTAGAGTTCTGTGGAGCCTTGGTAGCTTGGGTGCCTTCTTAGTTTAACCGCCGACTAGCTATTGCTGGTAGCTACAATGTACTATGGATTATGGAGGATGGTACCCAGTCTTCAGCTTCAGAGTTTTTTTTTGAGAACTGGCAAAAAAGTACACATGTAGATATCATCCATAAAATTAGATCAGTGTGGCCTTATGAATTCCACAACTTTACACAGATCTGTAGATTAACGTCTTCTTTTCACTGTAGGTTTTGGTAAGTTTCTAGTAATTAGTAAACCTGTGTTTCTACTGTAGATAGGAGAGTTAACCTGTAAAATGTTAAAATGACTAATGACCATTCGCTGTCTATACATGCACCTGTATTATGATGTTCTGATCTTTGGCCATTGTCTACCAGTGTGAGGCACTCAATCGATAGTATTTCATCACCAGAGTATGGTGGAGTAAAATTGCATCAACGCAAATCCAGGTCAGACAATTGGGGCCCTATAGAGGGTGATACTACTCGTTTTTATGCTGCTGTAATTTATTTGGCCTGTAAATGTATTCAATGTACAGACACATGTACCCCCCTCCCTCCACACACACACACACACACACACACACACATGTACACACACACACACACACACACAGAAACACACAGTCATACACGCGTGCACGCACGCACACATACACACAGACAGTCATACACGCGTTCACACACACACACACAGTCATACACGCGTTCACGCACATTCAAGTGTGCACACACACACACACACACACACACACACACAACCTACAACAGTTAATGTAGGAAATAGTTACAGTAGTACTTCTCAAATTTGATTGTATATTATATACCTCTGCTCATACAATACAGTACATACATGGTCTATTAGTGGTTAGGATTTGGCACTCTCTCCGCCAAAACCCGAGTTTGATTCCCGGTGTGGGAACCATTGATTGGAAACACTAGGGGCGAGTAGAAACAGGAAAACCCCTGACTCCGGAACGCCGTGAATCGAACCCACGCTGAACCTGGGCAGACAGCTAGGGATCACAGCACCATAAACCACTACTCCAAAAAGGTCCAGACCCATCAGAAAAGTCAGTTGCAGGGCTCGAAAGGTGGTCCAATGGCCAATGGCCACTAAAATTCAGGCTGGGACAGCTAAAAAGACACTTTGGGACATTTTTGGGACAATGAAAATGTCATCAGCTCTTCTTTTGTCTATCAGGCACACGTCCCAGTGCTTTTGGATCCAGATCTAGAGTCCCCCGAATTTCCTACTCTGCAAGTATAGTGCACCTGGGAGTGAACATAAGCAAAATAAAGTTGACTTCAAGTCAAAGTCATACAATACTTTCTAAGAACAGGTTGGGACAGTTCATCCTCACTTCAGGACAATTGAAATTAATTTTTGGGACAGTGCTGGGACAATAGGAAGAAAAGTTAATTTCGAGGCCTTCGAGGCCTGCAGTTGGTAGCACTTGAAACCCCACTGTTACAAAGTTGACCTTTACTGTGTTCTAGAGGTTGATGAGAAAGTGTTACTGACAAGTCAGACATCTGTCCTAATGTCAGAGTGACCTATTGTGAAGGGGAAGGCCACTGATCGAAACAGGCCTGTCCACATCACTGATGATGATGACAAGATACATGTAGCCTGACATTTGGCTGTATTAAAAACCTTTCAGACTGCAACAAGATGTCATGCTTTGCATAATAGTATCATTCCCGTGCAGGAAGAGTTGAGCAGTTGTTCACAGATATCAGAGTTATCAGGGACATTTCAGGTTTAAAATCTTTGAAAATATTCGTTGTACCATTCAGACATGATCAAAAGAGAGAAATGCAGCTGTATAACTTCAAGTTGATAATATTATAATGCCACAACAATGTTGGTTTTCAGATTTTTTTTTTCAGAAAAAATATAAAGCAACAGGACGGAAAAAAATAAGACAGACCTGGGCATCCTATGATAGCCCCAAAAGCTACGATAGGAGTCATGAAGTCTCACAAACACACACAAACACGCACGCGCGCACACGCGCACCCACGCACACACACACACACACGACCGCCACCGAAAACATAACCCTCTTGGCAAATGTAATAAAAACAGCCCCAGATTCCAACTGCTGAGCCGATTTGGGCAATTAAGGACACGTAGTCCTGATCAGGTCAAGACTATAAGTAACTCCTGCCATAAATCTTCATCTTGACCTTGCTTGGTACATTTGTGGCCTGGAGGTGCTGTACTGCTGATAGGCACAGCTGATAAGACTGCACAAATCAGGATCATAGTGCCACATGTATGCCCACCTGTCAGCAGTATAGGCTGTGGCACAGTTAGTGATGCATACCGCTTCACCGGACTTGGATCCGGACTTGTAAGACTGTTTAGGTTCAAGTCCAAAAAAACCTACTTAGTAAAAGTCAAGAACCGAGTCCGGACTTACTACCATAAAAGACCATTTCACATACCCCTTTTCTTTCCAAACCACCTAAAACCTTTCGTAGATTGCAAAATCTTTGCTGAAAAATGAAGAAAACATTGCCATCGGGCATCGTCAACTGATGTCAAGTACCGGCCTCCATGATTGTTATGTGGCATTGCAAGACATTGCAAGCTTGCCAACATGCAATTTTATATATGCCGTTTAGGTCCGGACTTACAAGTCCGGACCTGAACCTAAACCTCTGGACTTGAATCCGGACCTGAACCTAAAATTGGGTTAAGGTATGCATCACTAGGCACAGTGTGGGAGCACATAGACTGGACACACTGCACCTGCGCAAAACCCTGTGACATAATGTGCATAGCACTTCTGCAGAATGTCATGTTTAAGAAAGTATTTACGGATGGCATGTCATCTATAGTTTTAAAATGTAACGTGTCGGAAAAGATACCCGGCGCAACAGGCAAAATTCTAATGCAACATTGACCAAAACATTGCATAAAAATTGAAAAATCCAGGTTTCGCGCAGTTGCAGTACAAAAAGTTCTTCCAATGCGCAGGAATTCATATTGGTACTGTGCATATTGTGTTGCTCAATTTTGGCTTACTTTTGTCCAGTGTTGTGAGTCATGGTACATTGTATATATAGGAAAGTAAGCCGGTTCGTGGATGATCTTTCTGTAACACAGCCTTCTTTATTTTTGTCTCGGCAGGTATCAGAATGGGTCGCCAACCCAACTACCTCAAACATGGGGTGCTGCAACAGCTCCAGTCTCCCTCGTCCGAGGGCAACGGACACAACTTTCCGACCTCCCCGCCCATTCCTACTTCCCCCAACATTCCTACCTCCCCCGGGGTGCCCATGTCTCCCAGCATCCCCATCTCGCCGACGTCGTCTACGCACCACTCCCAGCAGCAGCAGCCCTCCCCGGTCGACAACTCCTACTCAAAGGTACTGTTAATCAGCAAGTAATTTTTATGGATGACATTAGCGCGTGCATGAATTTTTTGCTTGATTAAATTTTGTAAAAAAACAAAAACAAGAAATTTTAGTTGCCTTCTGACAGTGGTCTCACTTTGGTGCAGTGATATGTGATGTTGGCTGTGTATATGTAGTGTTCCCACTGAATCAAAACCATTTGTACAATGATTGAGTCAAAATTTTAAAATGTAGAAACCTTGTTTTTTTTTGCCCTTCTTGTTTTGTTTTTGTCCTATCGCATTAAATTTGGAGTCTGCGGAGGATGTCATTCATAAAATATACTTCCTGTGGCCTAATGTTTGCAGTAGCAAAAGTTCATGGTCTGAGAAAATCGGTGACTTTCTACATTTGCAGTCTGAAAAAACGGACATGTTCACGGAACTATTAATATATGTTTGCGGTGGCAGCAGGAAAAAAGAAAGTCGGCAAATTATTTGTTCTTGGTAATGATAAGTTCACGGTACAGAAGTGACTGACTGCAAAAACCTTAAATGTGAAAGTACTGCGAGAAAAGCAAGGCAGCATCTTCGGACCGTAAATGTTCTTTGCTTTGCATTAGTTTGTTTTTAGGCGCAACAGACTAGTTTGGTACAGTAAATATACACAACTGTAAGACTAGACTTTAAGATTTGAGCCACTCACACTGGAAAGGACCCCTGCTAACTCTTTTCAAGTGTGGTGTATTACTATCACAAAAAATCTTTTAATAAAGAAGTACATTCAGTTTGAAGAAAAATTGGTAATCTTTCATACATACATAGTTGTTTATCCTTGTTTGTTGTTGTCCAGAAACCTCAAAGGACAAAATACAGTGTCTTCTTTTTTCTCTTTTCAGGTGTCATCTTGGGGAGAAACTCAGTCAACCCACTCCAGCATGCAATCTCTACCCAGTCCGCACAAGTCCTACCCCCTCAGCCCTCCCCCCTCCACAGTCCACATGACGCACACAGACATGAACTACTCCTCCCCCAACGCGGCCGCGACCGTAGCGTACAGTAACGTGAACTCCTTGGCACAACTTCTCCCCACGTCGCCTACTTCTCCCAACATGGGTCCCATTCCAACCTCGCACTTTTCTCCCATGCACAGCATGCCCACCTCCCCACCTTCTCTCATGCACCAAGGTCCCCTGCAGATGCACCCCTCCCCCTCCACCACAGGCCAGCTCATATCCACGCCCTACCCAGGCCCCGGACAACAGATGCAGACAGGGAACATGGCCAGTCCCATCCCCTACCCCCCAGTGGAGCACTTCATCCCCTACGGCCCGGCCTCCGGTGTACCCCCCACCAACGGGGGGCCTGTGGACATCGCTGAGTTCTTGCCAGTGGAAGACGCCTTCAAGTATCTCAATGCTGTAAGAGAACTGGTGGGTATCTTTCTTATAAGTACAAACAGTAACTTTCACCACTCTAAGTCTAACGTAATATTATTGTTCCATATACTGTAACTTCTATATAGCATCTGTCTTTTGCTACTCAAAAAATCCCAAATCGGCAGTTTTGACAGACATGCATCCCCAAACAATCAAGCTGAAACTTGTGTAAATTTTTACTGAAAAGATGTTATTCAACTAAGCTTAGTCTACCAGCAAAATTTTCCCCTCAAAATGCAGGAAATACATGTAGCATTTTTTTCAAAATTTTCACAGAGGCTGTACCCCTGGGCCCTAGGATTGTCCTAGCACGTTGTTCCTTCAGTGCTCGAAATGATCAATGTTTTGTCAAATAGAATTGAGAGTACGGAAAAAATTCAGGCTGGCTAGAACACTGGGTTCTTAGCTCACTAAAGAGACCTGGATCTAGAAATTCTTGGTGCAAATGTGTATGCTATTGTTACACTACCTACTAGTATTCCAATTCAGATATGCCTGATGATTTCCAGGGCTAAGAAAATGAGACTTTTTCAGGTACTAGATGTGTCAGAATTGTTTAAAAACCAAAAAGACAACAGCTTTTGTCCATCCTTTTTTGTGTCAGAGATTTTACATCTCCAGAAACTACTACGACTCCTCGTGGGCATTTTCTCATTAACTTTACACACCTGTGGTGCTACAGTCGTGGGGTAATCAAAGCTACATTAGGGCCATGGCTCTTCCACTGATCAGCCACTATTTCAGCGCCTGTGCGTGCTAACCAGTTGTGATGACACATAGTCGATGGCCTTGGCCCCATGCTTGCAAACCTCAGGGTCAATAGTTTCTGGGACAGGGCCTGACATCAATGTCGGACATTACTGAGTGGGAAACTCCCCGACACCAGGCACCGCAGTCTACATGTAGTTAACATAATTATGTTCTCTCTTTTGCACATTTGTTTGAGTTTTTGTGCCTCGTCAACATTCAAGGCAGTCAAAGCAATTTTAGGACATTAAAAAGGTCAATTTTCTAGTCAAATACTCTTTTTAATGTCCGTATATCACACTTTTTTTTCATAGGCTGGTTCTAGCTATTTATTGGTGGTACCAGAAAATAAAGGGACTCCTCTTGTACATGTAGCTTGTTTTCTACTTGTAACTTGAGGAAAATGTGTGTTATAAAACTGGCAATAGATGTCAATGGCATGATATTTCTTTTTACACTTCATTCAAAATGTGGGTGGTAAATAAAAAATCCACATACACCAGTCCTGCAGTATACAGTACAATGTATACGCCCAGTACATGGACCAGTGCAGGTTACATGTATGTGCAGGTAGACATCAGAAATACCTGCACAACTTCAATTGTACCTGCACTAACCTGCATATACCCAGTACATGGACCAGTGCAGGTTAGGTGCAGGTAGACATCAGAAATACCTGCACAGCTCCAATTTTACCTGCACTAACCTGTTTATACCCAGTACATGGACCAGTGCAGGTTAGGTGCAGGTAGACATCAGAAATACCTGCACAGCTCCAATTTTACCTGCACTAAGGTGCATATACCCAGTACATGGACCAGTGCAGGTTAGGTGCAGGTAGACATCAGAAATACCTGCACAGTTGCAATTTTACCTGCACTAACCTGCATATACCCAGTACATGGACCAGTGCAGGTTAGGTGCAGGTAGACATCAGAAATACCTGCACAGCTCCAATTTTACCTGCACTAACCAGCATGAGTAGGTGGTATTTTAGGTCTTCATGTGGAAATGTGAGAGGTTGTTCAACCAGTCTGCCAACAGATGTTGCCCGACCAGTGACCTTTTGCTCTTCCAGAGAGATCTTTTTGTTTTTCTGTCTTAGCGCAGAATATATATTTAGAATGTCATTTTCTATTCAAGTGACCTTGTTTGATGTCTTTAAATGTTTCTTTACTATTCTTGTCATTTGAAAAGGCGGAAATAATCTCCATATAAAGCTGTATTGATTTAAAGTCCATTAGTCATTGACACACACGTACTCTCATCTGCCGAATAAACATACGGGTACATTTATTTTTTTGGGCCCGAACATCCACCCAGTACGTTCTTATTTTGCACAGTACGTTTATTAATTTTTTGAAAACCAGTAATTTTTTTCAACTTCGTGTGAAAAAAATTGACAAATCATCAATGTGAAGACGTTTATAAACGCGTATTGTAGCGAGAAACTTGTCATTTTCGGGCCGGTATTTGCAATCACCACGTGCATAAATTCCTCTGAATGTTCTATTGTCATGGGTGGTGCTTATCAAAATACGAAATATTAAATGCTCTTTTTTTTTGTCTATTTAAATTCCTAATTGCAAATAACAGTTAAAGATTTGTGCATATATCAGTAAGGGCGTATTTTAGTACAAGAGACACAGGTTACCCGTCAATTTTGGTAATTTTCCGGGGGGTACGTTTATTCCGGGGGTATGTTTATTTGATTTTGAAGATTTGTCCGGGGGGGTACGTTTATTCGGGGGGGTATGTTTATTCGGCAGATGAGAGTACACAGGGTACATACATGTATTTGAAATTGTGCACAAATAGATAAAGTTAGATATTTTAACACTGAAGAAAGACGCAAAGGCTGAACACCAACTGCTATACATTTTGACTTTGTAGCTAGGCCAAAAGGTCCAGGACCCATTGGACTGGGCAACTGGTACTGGTAGCAAAATTTTGTGGTCTGAGGAAAATGGACAGAAATGGCGAAACGAAATGTTCATGGCTTCGTGGTGACGGCAGGTGCAGAAGAAATTAAGAGTCGGCGAATTATTGGATAACGGTAATGAAAAATACAGTAACCACAAAAGTTGCAAAATAATAAAGTACTGCGAATATAAAGTGATTTACAGTACATTGCTGTTACAATTAATATATCTACTATGATCATACAACAATCATTATATTATCATAATAAGAATCAGTTTTGTTACAATGATAATCCTCTTGAAAAACAGAGCCTGCCCTTTGCTGCAGCATGTGGTATAAAGCAATGTGCTTGTCAAATGAATGACTAGTATTCTGCCATTGTTGTGTCTGGGTCAGAGAGTCTGGTTGTCTGACCACTCCATTTATGTTGACGTAACCTAGATTTTACAATGGCTGCAGGACAGCGGTTCTAGCCAGCAGGCCTTCATTTTTCAGTCTGTCTGGAAGAAGCAAATCTGAAAAAAAATTCAAGGATGCGAAATGGAAGGTTGTGTTTGATGAAATCCAACAGTCGAATCTTTTAACAAAGAAATGTTTTAATTTGTTGTTGTTTTTTTGCTTCCATATTTTCATGAAGTCCAAAGGTTGAAGGGTGTGGTGGCACTTCAGTTGAGAGATGTTGTCTATATACGAAAGGTCATCAGGTGGCTTAAAAACAAAATTTCGTGGCTTGTTTTTCCTTCCGTCCTCACTTTCATCTTGTGAGATGACCGAGCCCCGTCGCTCTCATCAAGAATGTGGACTATTCCCAGCTATGGGTGTAATTAGGTTACCCCTTGTCTACTTTACATATGTGGCCTATTTTTAACCCAGACACACATGTACAGTTTGAGACTGTTGTTTGCTGACTGGGGCTGTCTGTTATGTAAGGGTGACGGGTAACAAAGGTGTGAACATGATACGTCTGGTCACGTTGGGACTGTCCTGAATCCCTGAATTCACACAGGTGTCTGTTTCTGAGTCCTTAGGCCACACCAATTTAATTTCTCGGTTAACGTATTTGCCTGCTTCATTTTTTTGTGATTTGCAAAAAAAATTCAAAATCAACTGCAAAATGCTCATATTGCCCTGAACAGTTGAAAACAGTCCTGTTCTTCCTAGTTGTTACAGTAACTGTTATTCCATCTTTCAAATGCAGTGGTATTTCAATAAAAGTTCAAAATTCATTGCTTAAATTTTGCCTCAATTTTGAACCAGCCTGGTGTGTTGACTTCAAGGCTCCTATGGTACCATTTTGGGCCATAATAGGATGCCTAGGCCTGTTTTTATTTTTTTAATTCATTTTTTTTTCGCCCTCCCGCTCCATAATTTTTCTAGAAAAATCCGTTAACCAAGAAATTAAATTGGTGTGGCCTTAGAAACATAGAAATACAGTCATAAAGTTGGATCATCACTCCTGTAGGTGTGATAGGTCAACATGTGTTGAGGCCACAGTAAGGTATTGCAGGGATTGCAGGGCTCGAAATTCATTTTTGGGAATAGGTGCACTACTGGTGCACCCAACCTAAAAAACTGGGTGCACAAAAATTTTTTGGGGTGCACCATGTAAAATAAAATTAGTAGAATGTCAGCAAAAACAAATTATGTTCATTTCTAAAGAATAGTACTAAAACAATGATTAATTTATTATTTTTCTGACACTTGAGATGTTAAGAATATGTTGTATACTACTTACATTTAACAAATGTAAACCTACAAAAATACCTGGGTGTACTGGTGTACCCACAGAAAAGAATTGGGTGCACAGCTCCAAATTTGGGTGCACTAAGGTGCACTTGCACTCAGTTTTTCGAGGCCTGGATTGGAATCAAACATGGTCTTTCTTGAACAAAGCTCAGTCTTGGACCCTTAAAAGCTGCAATGCAATATCAGGGCGGCATGTGCAATAAAAAACAAATATTCATATTGTACTGTCATACTTAGTACATGTTGTATTGAAGTGTTTGAAATATCCAAGGAACATGCTATGTGGCATGAGGAGTTGATTGTTTTTTTTATATACCACCAATAAATAGCTAGAACCAGCCTCCAAGTCAAAACAATCAAGACTTACATGTTTTCCATCAGCGACATCACATTTTTGCCTCACATGCAGATATCGATCAGTATGCTAATAATCACTATGAGACTAGGGTTGATTCAAATTACAATATGAAAAATGTCCAGAATATTGACTTTAAAAAATGTTTTACTTCAGCCCTGAAAATGTTTTGGGTGCCGTGGACTGTGACTCAACCTAACTCAACTACCAGTAACTTAATTGCCTAACTCAGTAACCACAATGGAGCATTGGTAGCCAAATGGCTCCTGTGGTGCGCTAAAGGTTAATGGATAATTTAATGTCTTTTATGTTTGCTTGTACTTCGGTTCTGTTCAGTTAGGTAGTTAATGAGTGAACTACAAACTTAGGTGTCACATCCACTGCCTCATCCATAACTACTCACAGTAAAACCAACCAAAATATCAATTATAGTACGTGGCCTGGTGATAGATTTGAATTACTAGTATACATTTCCATGTCAGACAAAATGTAAAAATGAATATCAGATAATACATAATTGGAAAAGGTCACTGTATTTCCTGTCTTCAAACAAATTCCTGCTGTATTTGTGCACATCTGTTGTCCTTCTGGGAGCCTGGGTGAGAAAATGCAAACTGAGACATATTCACCATGATATTGACGAAAATGCAGTTACATGTACATGTGCAAGATGTACAATCATGTAACTTGCTAAGTACCTAATACCAGCCCAGAAGAAAACAAGAAATAGCCATGCCTTCAAGTACCAGAGTTATCAACCAAGGATTGAGGTGTTCAAGAATTCATTCTTTCCTAGAACTATTGCAGAGTGGAACTCACTGTCACCAAGTACAGTAGGGGCATTGTCAATAGATAGCTTTAAATCAAGTCTAGAGCTAGAAGTTCAAGGGTTAGGTGTAACAAGTCGATCAGTGTAATATAGCCAGCTGCCGCCGCGCCGCGTGCCTGCGAAGCTGGTGTGTTGCGCTGAAAGGCGGTTATACCGGCTATACAGATACAGATGCAAAGATTGGGTGTAACAGATCATTCGGTGTAATATAGCTAGCTGCCGCTGTGCTGCGTGCCATTGAAGCTGCTGTGTTACGCCGAAGGGCAGTTATACAGGCTATACTGATACAGATATAGAAATGAGTAAGTAAGAAATTACATGTATCAACAAGACTGGCAATGAAAACATACATTGCCATGGTGACGGTGGTTGCTGTTAGGGTTATTGTTTGCATGGTACTTTCATGATTTAGACAGATACAGTGCACTCCACCCCTGAGTGTATAGTGAACGAGCCCCGGGGTCACAGAAAGTAGGGCCATCTGGGGTAGAGAGGTCTTCCCAAGGGTTTGTGGGCATATATGTGGGTCAGAGACATGCCTGTGGACATTCCATTCCTGTGTACCATTCCTAGAATAATTATTCTTGCAAACTGCACACAATACTGTACCATTAGGCTCCTCCCTGAGACGTCGCCAAAAACCCAAAAAATTTTATAGAGGTTTGAGATTTTTGATTTCTTGTTTCCTCAGCCTGAAGGAGGCAGGAACCTGGCGGAGCATGAACTTACGGTGGAGAACATCTGGGAGAAGATGATGCTGTCCTTCAAGAGAAATGTACATGTCACCACCAAGTTTGCCAAGAAGATTCCAGGTGATTATTATAACAGGGTTAGATAGACCCGGTGTACAGAAAGTGCGAAATGGAACGAAATGAAACGAAATGGAACGAAATGAAACGAAATGTGTATGAAGGAAAGCCGTTAAGCCGTTCGTACGTTGGAACGGCGACGTCAGTGTCCGCTCGACGTCCAAACGGCAACGTTAATATTGATGGTATTCTAAGAACCGCAACGTTATAAGATCGATCAGGGTACGTTAAGAATAAAGTGACCGCAACGTTCCATTTCGTTCCATTTCGCACTTTCTGGGGTCCCGATAGACCGGTACTCATTTTTCTCAGGTTGCCCACTATATACAGGTACATTATGTAGCTACGAGTCTTGGAGCCTGGGTGCCTCGTAGGATGTGATCTTTCTTTTCTTTTCTTTTTTTGAAAACAAGTGAAAATCAATGCATGCGCGGATGGCATCCTTAGAATTGAATCAGCATGGCCTAATTCACAGTCTCATCCTTAAGTTTGCAGATATAAAATCAGTTACATGTATTTATGTTCACGTCTTTATTAGTCTTTCTTTTCCTTACGTTTACATGTATAATTTTATGTGTACTACCTACCTGGTCACAATTGTGACTAACCCATACACAACCTGCTAATGTTAATCTCAGCAATGGGGCTAAGCAGAAATGAAGAAGTCAAGTCAAGTCAATCTTTATTGCACAACAATTGTAACGGGTACAATGCATGGCAAACTCTTCGGTACTACATGTACATATCTAGCTAACATCTACTCACGTCTACAGTGATACCTACAAGTTCAATGTATCAAAAACAATTATAATACTATTTCAAAAAGGTAATATAGTACATGTATATATATGGAACATGGCTTACATGATAATGTACATGTCTTGAGTTCTATATATGACTGTATAAACTAGAGTGTACATCAGTTGGTTGAATCGGATAGAAGTACAGTACGTGATCCAGATCTCGGTGTTTGTTTTCTCCCCTGTAGGATTCCGTACTTGCTCGATCGACGACCAGATCAGCATGATCCAAGGAGCGGCCTTCCCCATCAACTCCTGCATACTGGCCCTGGACTACAACCCTGTCACCAATGAGATGAACTACTTCAACATGACGGAGATGGAGAGGACCGCCATGCCGCGACTATTCCCGCCTTTCGCACAACTGCCCGTGAAGCTGCCCGATATCTGGAAGAAGATCCTTGCTCTGAGAATGAACAAGGCCGAGATGACGCTGTTCTGTGGCATCCTTCTCATGTCCCCAGGTACGGCGAGATGTTAGCATGACTACTATTATGACCCGATTTACAGACAGGGACGAAATTTATTCAAGTCAGGGCCTTATGTGTATAATGTAAATTTTGCAGATGAGCAGGATTATAAAATGTAAGCCATTTACACGTGGTCATCACCGTGCATAAGATTTACGAAAGCACTAAGCATGTCATGGAGGTATGAGATCGACGAGCTCTAGTTTTCTCGTGTATTCATCCGCTATGGGCAGGCCAGACCTCATCACTCAGGTCTCTCATGCCCACTAAACTGATATGATATGAACAAAACTTGACCAAATAAAAAAGTGGGAAAGTTTAGACCCTATACATATACCTGTCCCTTCTAGCCCCAAAGTCTCCAGACTAGTTCAGTTCAGTTCATCCTTCTCCAGACTAGACCAGAAAGAAAGATTTTCAAAGATGCTAATTTAAAAAGACTACAATCCTGTGGACCGATTTTGGAGTATCTACTGCGCAATGCAGTACATGTAGTGACGTCTGCCCAATACAGGCTACATGTATGCATGCCATGGGCATGTTTATTAGGGCTGCGGACCGGTACATTGTACCGGTCCAATACCGTAAAAATCGTTTCGGTACAGGTCCAAAATACCGGATCATGAAGTAACGAGTATATACCGAAATAGCTAGTTTACACCATGTATATGACTAAAGATAGGTAAATCCTACCACAAAGACGAAAAATTAGCACTGGAAAAGACGTAAACACCGTCGATTGATGTGAGATCCTCAGTCTCACGAGATATCGCGAGAGTGTGGCTGATCCAGGGTTGTGATAAAGATACTGACAAGTTGTCAACACTTTATTATTGTTTCTGTGTCATGATTGAAAAAGTGAAGAACACGTGTTAATTTGCCAAATTGTTCAGGTACAGGTACAGGTCCGGACCTGTACCTAAACCTCTGTACCGGTACCTGTACCTGTACCTGATGTTACGTTTAGGTACGCAGCCCTAATGTTTATGTTGTGAAACATGTCAATCAGCCATGGACAACTGTGCATAACTGTCATTGTTTGGTCCTACATAACATGCGTGTCTGTTGTCCACATGGATGTGTTAATATAGGCAGATCAGCAACAGGATATGAAGGATCAAATTCACCTTTTTCCCATTCCCAGGATGCATAGCGCCAGGGGGGTCAGAATTTGTGTTCCTTTGGTGTTTATGGCCGCACAACACAGTATTTATGGGCGAACCCCGTAGTCAAAAGTAGTCCGGGCACAAAGTAGTGCTGCACAATACTAGAGAAGGGTGCAGAGATTGTTTTGTGCATGGCATTGAGATAGAGCCTGTGGTAAACGTTAGAGGAATACGTCAGTTTTGAGACTGTAAAAGTCATTGAAAGTTGAGTTATGGTGCGTGTTCAGTCGGCGTAGATTTGCGCTTGGATACTTGTCCCGCCTAGTACTGTTCGTCGGCTGCAGTTCCATGACCTCCGCAGTGGCGCTAGTAAAAGAAGGCATGAGAAGAGAACTAGCCGGCAAATTTAAGCTCATTTTCACATATTTTGTACACTATGCCCTGAAATTAGACATATCAAAAATCTGAACCTTGATTGTGCACCCTACTGTGATTTTCAGTGAGTCGAACTGAGTCACTTTGGGGTCCTTAACTATAGAAATCCCCATAGGGCTAGAACTGTGTTGTGCCGCCTTATACATTTGTTGATGACAAAATCTGAAATATTCTGTTCTAGGTTGCTCCCTTAATGTTTATATACTACATCATCTGTTGAATTATTTTTCAGTTTTTTTTTCTCTTTTTCTGCTGACAGACGGTATAATGTTAACACAGTAGAGAGTAACGTTATAAACTACATAAATTTACTAAATTTACTGTTTACTAAAAAAACACAAGTATTTCAAACCGTTTCGAACTTTTATTCAGCCAGTCTCTTAACCTTTTTTCCCTCTGGGCTTTTTCAAGTGTACAAAGTTCGCGGAGTTGCCACTTTTATGCTTATTTTTTATGTTAATGAGAAATTTTTGCCATTAAATGTTTTGCAGACACAGCAGGCCTGAAGGACCCAAAAGGTGTTGAGATGTTACAGGGGAAATTGTACTCAATCTTGGAAAAGTATACTCTAGGTAAGTGATGTGAATGAATTTCAAGTACTACTAGGACTATGTGATACTGTACATTGAGCGCTAGGGGTTGGTTTGGTTTGGTAGATTTTGATTTTATTGAAATTGCAACAATGCAATACACGCTGACCAAAAGGCAGCTGTTGCTGATGTTGTGTCCCGCACATAGAAACGGATACTGGACAGACAATACTTATTTTCACTTGAGTCTAGTGGGGAAAGTCGTGTAAAGTGCCTTTCTCAAGGGCACAAGATCGGTGGCATGTCAGGACTCGAACCCGGGACCTCTTGATTCCGAGTCGCGCACGCTGCCATTGCGCCATACTACCCCACTGGTTTCCATTTCATTCATGCCCACGATCATGATAGTGATCATTTTGGCATACTCATTTACACCTGAGCGAAGTGAGGAAAGTCCTTGTGAAGTGAGTTTCCCAAGGGCACAAGGTCATGACTTAATATATATAGAATACAACACGGGGTATTCCGTATCGCCCGAGGTATCAGCCCGACTGCGGGTCAGATCGCCCAACGGTTGCAGGCCGGAGGGCGATCCGACTCGCGGGAGGGCCGGGACCGAGGGTGATGCGCAATACACCATGTTGTATTTTATTTACATGTACGTATGTCATACCCACCCAAGAAAACGCACCTTTCAATGCAATATGAGCCAAAAGTTGGTGCCACTAAACCCTAAAATGCAACAACATCAATGCCAATGTCCGGATTCTGTATTCGAATTTTTTAAAGCGGCGCACGCAGTTAGGGCTAAACGCGTTCGAATTGTTCTATAATGGTATAATATAAAAGTACTGCCCGGTCCGGATTCGCTTCAAACTTGGTATGAACATGCGGGAGCACACTCTGGACATGACCACACAAAAAAATGTCAGATTTGTGTGACAATTCGTGGGCGTTTGCTAAAAAGAGAATGCGCCTGGTCCGGAACCCGTTATCAAACATTATCGCGGCCCGGGTATGATATAAATACATGTACATAAGCAATAATTATTATTGTGCTTTTTGTCTGATACTCATTAAAGGTACATGTATGTGAATAGATTTTTTTTAAATGTTGTGTTTTTTTGTCTCCCCAGCTCAGGGAGTGATAGGTGGAGTGAGTGGGGTGGTACGCTTCCAAGCCATGCTGCAGGCCATAATGGCACTCAAGAAGTTGAACGAGGAGCACGCCGAGAAAACCAGGCAGATCACCAAGGTCATGCCGTACCTCAAGATTCCGCAACTCTTCAGTGAACTCCACAAGGTGTAGAGACCAGGCCCGTGTGTGTCGTCAGGTGGTGCAAGCAGGGCAACTCACACATACAAGCCATCTGTCAACGGTGGACGTATACAAGACATACATACAACGCACAATTTACATACCTAGGAAATACAACTATTAGTATATATATTGAAATCTACTTTATAGGGAATGGGTTAGTGCAATCTCTCTCAGGACCACCCATCCATGAATATTATTATAAAATGGTGAAAAGTGGGGGAGGGGTGGGGGGGTAAGTTGCTAGCCCCTCACTGGGAGGCATGCAAACAGTATACATCTATGGGCCTTATCTTACATACATGTACAATGTACATACATGCATGTGACAAGATAGTTCAGGACCAACCCTATGCTCATCATAAGGGCCAGTGTACCATTCAGACTGTTTAGGGCAGTTGCTCAACAGTTCTCAAGGGTAACTTGGTATTTGAACAATTAATAATTATTACAGTTACCTCTGCACAAAGATATCTTCCCCGACTTTTAAGTATAGTTATAATATAAAGAAGAGAGGCACAGATTTCTTTCAAAACCAACGGGTAGTTAAAAGTCTCTAGCTCTGCCGTGAAAAATGTTCTATCGTACAGACCATGTCAGTGTTCTAGCCAGCCCGAAATTTTTTCTCTCATCTCAATTTTGTTTTACATAACATTATGTCAAGGCCATATATATATCATAAGAATCCGAGGGGGTTTGGGGGCATGCTAGCCTTGAAAAGTTTGAAATCTTGACCCTCGGAAATGCTATTTCCTGCATTTTGATGGGCAAATTTTGCTGGTAATGTCATCTATTTCCATATCATTACATGACAATTTTTGCCCATCAAACTTCAAAGATCGGATTGGGCAAGCTTTGTCACGAGTGGTAAAATTCTGTCAAATAACTGAAGACAGATGCTGGCTAGAACACTGATCATAACATGTTGGACCTCAATAGAGATTCTGTTCCATAACCAGTAACAATCACTAACTTACCGCAGCTTCGCCCAACTGGCTTCGTATGACTGAGTTGCTTTCTCGTAACGCTTGCTTGCTATTCCGCCTGCCTGTTTGATAACGATAATGCTTGCATGTGTACACGATAGAGTTGTATACAGACTAGAGAAACGTGGGTGCTTGATATACGAATGTAGCCGCAAGTCTTTCTGCAGTGCTTGCTATAGGAGGTAGGGTGGGACTGTAGTTGACTAGCCCAGGGTGGGAAGAAGTAAGCTGGGTCACTGTTCCAACTGCGCATGCGCAGCCTACTGCATTGTGGGTAAAATGTCAAAGGTGAAGGCCCCTGAGACGTAAACAAACATGTCTGGACGTGTATCAAGCATGGTCTAGGTAAGAACTGTTTACAAGTTTGGGGCCTTCGTTTTTGACCTTGCTCCTGTGCATTTGGAACCCTGAACCCTCTTATTCTGATTTGCTATGTTTGTTGGTCCCCAAGGCATTTTGTGTAAAATTCTTTCCTTCGCTGCAGAGAAAATTTGCTCTTTTTCTTGTACGGCGCATTCGACAGTTGTACGTTGTGATACTACAAGTAAAGTTTGACTTTCACTTGAGAAATTTTTTACAGGTGAGTAAAAATACAAAACTCTCTATTTGGCAAGTTTTGGAACTTAAAGTTCCATTTTGAAATGGGTACAAAGTAACCTAGAGAAATTTTTTTTTTTAGATTGGAGCATTGAATGTTCTGGAATGGTGTAACCATCAAATGAAAGTGAGCATATTGTATATAAGCTTGTGGCTATGTGGGCAGTGGGGAGGGGGGCACATTCTGAATCTGGTGCCTGTCACTGGTAAGATGACCCCAAGTGACACTGCCACGGACAACATGAGAGTTGTCCTTAAGAAAGAGAGGCCTTCCGTGTATGTCGTGTCTAGACCTAAAAGCAAATATGAAATGGTTACAGATATTTTGTGTGTGCAACTTTCTTTTATTCCTATCTAGCTTTGCTCTTGCTTTATATATATATATGCTGAATGTTGTGTAACCATCACAAATGAACATTCTCTCCATTGAAATTTCAACTTGTGAACACCTCATCATGCCCCTTAGATTGGAATAAGAGATGTGAGAAGAAGTTTGGAGTTAGGAGGGTAGTAGGGGTGAATGTTCTTAAGGCCGTTGACCCATAATCGTTCAGGACATGGAGTATGACAGTATGATTCACTTTCAGGGTACCACTATGGTACAGAGTGCCCAAAAAACAGTTGGTACCAAACCTCATTGATAAAGAGTCATCTCAAATACTTCCTTACTTAAAAAAAAGTTGATGAATACTGCATGTGTGGTGGTGTAGCTCCTAGAGCTGACACATTAAAAATTGTGTATTGTCTCATGTATTTTTAACAAAAAAAAAATTCTATACTATGTAGAGAAGGTTTTATCCAGAGTATTTGACTGGGAGAAGTGTTGAACATTTGGGACACACAAAAGTTAACTGTGAAACTGAATCCTCTTACATACCTCGGGACAGGACTGTAGATTCTGAAGTAATACAGGATAGTTAAAGAACTTCTCCTTGAAGCTTCTCAGGACATAAATGCGCCAACAAACAGTAAAATGTATGGCTGAGTAACAGACACAAGGTTTGAAAGCTGTGCTTCCAGTAAAGGGGAAGTCACAGAGACCTATATCATGATAGAAATGTGCATGCTCCACGGGTCCTAACATGGTCACACTGTCTCTCCTCAGAACTGTGACCACGTATAGGACAACGATATTTTAACAGTAATATTTACTAGTAAGGTCTTAATGGTATTTTGGGAAAGAATTTTAAATACTGTAGGAGAATCATTGTTATTATATTTAGATGAGTTCTGTACACTCAGGGGACAGACTTTGCTGTATGGTGGGAACAAAATGTACCAGAAGTACAATTTGTAGATGAATACACTTAGTGGAGTATGAGCAGATTTGTTTCTGAGAAAGTCTTAAGATTTTCCATTCATTTTCACAAGATTTTTTAAAAAGTATGACTTTTTTAAATGCCAATCCAAATTTTACATTTTGTAATCTGTCACTGTATGTTACAGACTCCAAAAAGATGATATACCCTCAATTTTTTTGAGAAACTTACTCATTTTTTGTCGCCTGCCAGCCATGCCTTGTCAGATGAAAAACATACGCACACAAGTTTTTGAGGTATTTAACACTTTACACGAGACATTTGAACTTCCATGTATTTTGTAGTGCATTTTTTACCATGTTGTTTGTACGTGTAGGTGGAAAACATCGTACATATAGCAGCAGACATCTAACAAGACTCTACCTCAACCAATATACTGTTTGTACAGTCAAATATTCTGTTAGAATTTTAGGATGTTCTGTCTTGATAGAGGGACGACAGAATTTTCATCAGGGACTCAAAAGTCGTCTGTACAACATGGCTGACAGGACTGTATCATGCTCCACTTCGTGTATTGAAGATGTTAGATTTGTATCAACCATTTTGAAACTTTTCTCACATTCACAATCTCATGATTGAACTCGTGTTTCCATGGATTTTTTAGTTGGAAAACTGATTCAGAAGTATTTTAGTTGGAAACTAAAATATTTTTAGTTGGAAAACTGAAGTAATTTAGTGAAGTATTTTAGTTCGCAACTGAAATATTTTTAGTTGGGAAACTGAAGTATTTTTAGTTGGAAACTATAATATTTTTGTTGGGAACAGTATTTTAGTTGGAAACTAAAAGTATTTTTAGTTGGAAATTGAAGTATTTTTAGTTGGAAACTAAAGTATTTTTAGTTGCAAAACTAAAGTAACTGTAACAAGATCTAGTGTGAAAAGTTTCAAAAGGATGATTTTGTGACTGGTTTTATTAAAGATAAGAATGGAGGTGTTTGAAACAGGGTGTTTTATTAAGGAGGCATTATTGGTACCCATGGTATGGGTAAAAACAGAGTGTCTCACTCATACATACCGCACAAATACGCACACGTTTCCTGATAACGTTTTTGATGGGGAAAATATTTGGTATCTTCTCTGATGAAAACTGATCTGATTGTGTTCTTCTGTGTCTTCTACAGAAACATAGGTTGAGGCTCTGCCATGGTTGTGAGATCTGAGTTGTACTTTCTGTGTGTTAGTACCAAGGACTTCTGATGTCATAATCTTGTGGTGGCCAAAATAAATCTGCTATCAAAAATGTTGTTGTTTTTGCATGTTTCTGAGTTTTTTTTTACTTAAAATTGAGGTAGTGACAGTGATTTCAGGCTGGTCTGAATACTACAACAGCTATGGATGTATAAAGTCATAGTTACATTGTAATTGATCTCTTGTTACTATCAATTTATTAGTAACTCAAGTTCTACGCCCGCATACCTTCGCCAAATGATGATGAATCATACGACTGGCAAATTACAAATAAATATTGATGATTATGCGAATAAGATCCTAATATTGGATAATCTGCCCCTACTTTCGCATACTACCGACTTGTCTTACTGCAGTAACTTTTGTTGGATCCTCAAAGAAATCGGAGCGCACATCGTTAAATCCGGCGGCGGAGAGCTCCTAGTCTAGAGCACCAAAGAAAATCCACCCAATCCACGATGGACTAGACTGGATATGAGGCTAAAAAGGTAAGACTTAAGATCTAGAATTACAAATGGAGTAGAGGATGTTGCGACTAGAGGCGCAGGTCACCAGAGGCAGGCACCACAAGCGAATTGCACGGATCAAAAGCGGCCTCTAGCAGTTCAATGAAGAACTGCACCAGCATATTGCCGCCACGGGTGTACAAGCCAGGCGGCGGAGAGCTTCTAGTCTAAACCCCGAAGAAAGCCCATGTGCACCTAATCAACGATGGGCTAGACTTGATACAAGGCTAAGAATAAGATACTAAAGGGAGGGGGGGCTAGGAACCTTCCCACTGTACATTGATACTCAGACACAAATGATCCAAATTACTGTAACAGAAAGCCAACGTTAACAAAAACGACAGGCGACGAAGTAATGAAATCCACGACTTCTAATTTTATTATGTTGACATTAATTTTTACAGGTTCGCGATAGCGGGAACCTGTTTTACGTTACCTCGATTTTATGGGCGCCGCCATTTTGTTTCCCGTCATGCAATGGGGCAGGCCAAAGTTGAGTGAAGTGCATTGTGGGACCTGTCACCGGGCCACAGTGTAAGGACGACGCCTAGCGGTATGTTTGGAAAGAGCAGTAACTGAAAGCCTACCTGGTTGTGTGTTCATTTTGGCAGGAGTGTATAGAGGCGATGGCTTTGGCGTAATATACGCTGATTGTGTTTAGGACTTGCAATTGAAGTTCAATGTAATTTTCTTCGCATGAC